AGTTTGTTTCAGGGTGTAGTTGTATGACTAACAAATTGTGCTGATTTAATGTTACTTCGGTACCTTGGGGTAAGATGCCCCCTGTCCTGATGGGGAAAGACGCCCCCCAAAATCCGTAGGCTGTCTTTCAAGCAGCCCGTCAAATCATTTATTACATACTTGTGATGAGAGACAAAAGCCGATCTGGGACTATTGAGAGTCCAGTACGGTCGGGTGCTCCCCATGCCGGTCTCTCGGCCCACACAGCGACTTTTTGGGCGGCATCTGACTCTGAGAGCCCTCACGACGGCCTCTGTGGGCCCCATTATTGGCTCCAGGGCCCCTCACGACATCCTTTGAGGGCTCCCACGTTGGCTCCACGGGCCGCGCTGGCATCTGAGGTCCCCACGATGGGCTCGAGGGCCCTCAAGCATCATGAAGACCTATAAGGGCCCCACAGTGGTCTCCGAACGCCACCACGGAGGCTTGTTTGGCCGCGCTGGACTATGTTGGCCCTAACGATGACCTCTGAAGCCCCTTACGACTACTTTTGAGGGCCCCTACGATGACGTTTGGTGTCTACTGCAGGCTCGGAGGGACTACTGATTCGTTCAGGCAATTCACGTGCCCATTTTTGCCACTTAGTGCGGAGGGGCATCTTACCCAACCCCAGGGGGCGTCTTTCCCACCCTGTGGGGTAAGATGCCCCCTTTCACTTCTTCAGGAAAATGCTTAATAGCAAAAACAGTTATCATATTCCAGGCACGAAAGTGTGATATTTTTGGAGAAAAATGATGTCGGCTTCCGTTGAAACTCCAAGTTTTTGCTTTCCGATCGTCATTTTCGAATAATATACGACATAGTAAAACCCTGGGCATCTTTCCCCACTCTCCCCTATCACATTATTTTCGATGAAAACACAAATAAATTCATGATATGAATATGTTTGTTGTAAAAACCATATGGTGCACGGATTTGGTCAAATTAGATCATCTGATAGCCCTGGAAAAACTGTCCAGCGAAACCTAATTTTATTGACCTCGAAGTAACTGATGACGTCACAGGTCAGGTCAAAGTGAAAATTATCAGTATTTTGGATTGATCACAATTTAGGCTCTGGCCGCCGGCTTAGGTATTACGGAGTTTAAAATAAAGCCGGCAAGTCGGCAAGTCTGATCAGGCTCATCTTTGGTTAATGCACTCCTTGATATAGGCCTTAGATACCCTGAGTGTACTGTACTCATAGTTTGAATTTTCAGGTCAAGGCCAGGTCATCTCAGGTCACGTAAATTGTATATAATGTATCGGTCACGTGACGCATGTTTTATGGCCCATTTTACTAATAGATTTTAAGAACAATGTCGTCTGTGCCATTTCAGGTCATGTTCAGCTGAATTTACCGGAGGTCAGCTCATGCTTTCGGGTCAGGAAAAGTCAAATTTTGAGAATGAAAATTTTCAACAAAAAGGTGCTTATCAGATGCAGTTTGATCTCAGGAGCACGATGGTCAATGGCGGCGGAACACCTTCAATTAAAGGTAGTGTGCCAGCTTTCCTGGACCGTATGGAGTTAATGGCCCAGATAAGGAGAACCGGATTTTTAGATCTTATCCATACCTTCAAAACTCATGGAAACGTCTTAAATTCTTCAAATTTTGAGTACCCCAGTGCGAAATTCGTCCCGACGGGTTGTCGGTCGTACCCCAACCACATTTCACACCACTATGAACAATAAATGCACACACTGAAATCGCTATTACCGATATGCTCATCCAATCAAGTTTCGATAAACCCGTTCATCATCATCTCCTGCGGTTTCGAACACGCCTGTTAGGTGGTGCGGTAGACCGCGCCCAAAGCGCAGGGCCCCGGTAACGTGAGGTAGCCGAGTCGGGGCAGCGTGCGCTGACCCAAGCCGGGGCCGCGCGTCCTCCCGGTGTCATGTGATAGCCCGGGGCTGCCCGCGGGGATGCGGTAGACCGCGCCCAAAGCTGCGGCCCCGGCTTGGGTCAGCGCACGCTGCCCCGACTCGGCTACCTCACGTTACCGGGGCCCTGGCTTTGGGCGCGGCTTCTGCTCATACTTTGTGGTGCGGTGGTGGTGCGTCGGGCCGCGCGCTCTGACTTCGGCCAAGAAAAATGCGTCAGCTGATCATTGTCATTTCTGTGTGGTGAAATGGGGTCTGAGCTGTTGAGAGAGTTTGCCGTAATTCAATATTTTGCATCAAAATCGGCCGACATGGTGTCACTCTGACGTCATTTCCGGCCAAATTGTGGTAGCTAAAAGGTTGAAAAATTGCATAAGGTGTCAAATTAATGCCGTGAAAGGTACCAATAGCAAATTTCGTGTTGGTCCGTCAAACGGTTTAGAAGATAATGCCGAAAAACGGGGGGAATCTGTAGAGCCCCCCCCCCCCCCCCTGGGCGCGCTGACCTGACTGACCCGAGGTCGGCAACACCCTAAGTTGACCTCACCCAAACAAAAAGTGTATCATTCGACGCGTCTGAGCAAGGCGAAAACAATGCTGCCAGAATCACGGCTCTGCGACCATTTTTTTGCGAAGTTATTCGCCAAAAACGGATCCATACCTTGGTGCACTTGACAGCTCAGATGTCACCGATTGATTAGGTACACTCGGGGGCAGATTAATGTTCCACCACTCCCACCCATCGGGCCAGGGCCTCGTCTAACATGTTAACTGGGGGGGGCAATTGCCTCCCCAGTCGAGCGGTTTGCCCCCCCCAGTGGCCACCATTTGCCCCCCCAGTCAACACGTGAACTTCTCACAAAATTACCTTATCGGCAATACGTTTTGCTAGGTGTCTTACATGGATTTAACGAGAAACATTAAATGATTCGTTAAATAACTGTTCATGGCTACGGGAAAAGCCAGAGTTTTGTGATTTTCAGAGCTGAGAGCGCCAATTAGCAAATTGTCAATTAGCAGAGCTGGCCAGTGACCCAACTCGTGTTTGCCCCCCCCCCCCACACACACACACTCAATCAAACGCCCAACACGGATAAGTATGTTTATCACTGTCTGGTGAGGGGGTAATACAATGTTAACCCGCGCCGGGCCGGTGCTCCGCGACTTCCGCGCCGGACCGGGGGTGTCTGAATCCCCCCTTCTAACTCCGCTCCTGGGACAACGTAGTGACACGCATTAAGCGGCATTCGAAAGAGCGTCAAAAATAATGACGGAAACACTTCAGTCATGTTTTTAGGAAGGTCAAAGTTGATATCGCCGACGCCAGAGGTCATCAAAGGTCAAATTTTGTCCATTTCAACAATTTTGGAAACTGCCAACAGCTAACTCTGGAACCGATAGAGTTAAAGCGCCGAGGAAAAGCCCATTCGATAGCTCTTTTAACGCTCTTTCGCCGGTGTGTCCTCAGATTTGACCTCAGGTCAACGGTTTAGCCTCCAGAGGCCAAAATCTAAAAAATACCCGTTGTTATGAAAAACGTACGTTTTTCTGCAATAACTTTTGACTCAAGGAAGTGACATTTATTTTGAAAGCATCGCGTTCCTCTTGTCGAGACGCGTCGAATGAACTATAATTTGACGTTGAAAGGTATTTTGAAAATTTGACCTCAGGTCAAGGTCATGACCTGACCGGAAAAGGTCATGTTGCATATCAGTCGATCCGTATCGCCGAGCGGAACACATCTGAGGTGTTTTCATCGCTATAGCATGTCTATCAAAAGTTATTGTAAAAAAAACTCATGGGACCTTTTATGACCTGATATGACCTCAGGGTCATAAGGAGAGGTCACGGGTGCCATTTTTCGGTTCAGCTTGTCGAGTTTACCTGTAACTCAATGCTTGGGAGTGTTTGGAATGACGTTCGTCCAAAAAGGCGCCTTTCAATTTTCTCCTATTGACTTAGGTATAATAGAGAGGTCGCAAAATTGACCTGACCTTAGGTCACCGATATCAAAATTCCGAGATATACATTTTGTATATACTGTTACTCTCATCAATTGCTGAAAGTTTTAAGGTGATCGTTCGGTCGGTGCAGCTATGACGAGGATTCTAACTTTTTTTCTCAGGTGAGGTCACTTGACGTGACCTGGTAACCTGACCTTGAGTGACCTGAGTCTGAAATTTTCACAACACGTGCGGAACAGATGCATGAACAGGTGTGCCAAAAACGGCGGCGCTCCACGCCGCCGTTTCTTAGATATCTGCGAAAAACCGCGGGGGGGTGTTCAAAAATCCCCATGCCCGGCGCGGGATAAAAAATCACATTAAAAAAATAAAATTGTTAAAAAATCATGGTCTCAGGGCTGTGACGAAAAACAAGTGGCCTAAATCCGGTGAGAAAACAGGATTTGGGGGTACCCTAGGTTTGGCTCCTTCAGTCTCTGCCCCCCCCCCCCCCCCCAGTGAAAATTCCTTAGACGAGGCCCTGCATCGGGCTCCCATGGCTCAGCACTGGCTGCTGCCAGTGTTGCCTGCCCTCAGCACTGCTCATCACTGCCTGCCAATGCCAGTGCTGCCAGTGCTGCCACTGGCAGCAGCCACTAGCCAGTGCTGAGCCATGGGAGCCCGATGGGTAGGGAGTGGTGGAACATCAATCTGCCCCCGAGACCTAGGACCTTAAAATTGGGTATCAATTTCTGCGTCTCGTAACAGCACATACGCTCGTTTTTCCGCGACGGCCGACGCACTAGCTCCACCAGGGGTGAAACGGCGAGGGGGGTCGTACCTACCTGCGCCCCCCCCCCCATCGACCGGTGCCCTAGGTAGGCCAATAGGTCCGTCGGCGTCGAGGGTAAAGAGACGATTATGGTATGAATGAGGGAAGCTAGGAGCTAGGTTAAAACAAGGTCATATTCGTGTGCTCCCCCCTCCCCCGTTGACCCCTAGGAGTCTTTTCAAGCCAAAGCTATTCTGAATCCGATGCTGTATTCGGTGCTGTTGCTGACGCTATGCAAGTCTTCCCGGACATAGATGGCAGTCGAATAGTGATGTAGCATTTCATTAGGGAATTCCTTAAACCCGAACCTTGACATGCAAGTTTTATACGAATCTGACGCGAACCAAATGCTAATTTGATGCTAATACTGTTGCACGGATTTGGATTCAATTTCAAGCAATATTTCATGTAAGAAATTATATAGTCCAGACGCCGTAATTACGATTTATATCATCAGAAAGTGTGTGTCTTGCTCATAGATATGCAGACGTCTTGCTGTTGGTCTTCTGATGTGGATGTGTGATTTTCTTAAGTTTGTGGAATTTTTTTTTAAATTAGGGCTCAGACTGTGATTAGAGCAGGCATCGGGAAAATCCTTTTTGAAAGGATTGCATTCCCAACCCAATCCACATTCCACATTCCTAGTGCCGAAGTGGATTGCATTCCTACCCGCAATCCTCTTTTTTCACTTGGATTGTGATCAAATCCGCAATCCTTTTTTGCAATCTTGTTGTATTATTAGTGCACTAGGTGATCTGGGGGAGGGAGGGGGCATAGGGCCATGCCTCCATCCCCAAATCACCCATTTCTAGTACCTAGTCTTGTGAGTAATTCCTATCTAAGGCACAGGTATTTTATGGGAAATATTTTTTGCCTCAAACACCCCCACATTTAAACCTCTACCCAACCAGTGTTTTATATTTTTTAAAACTCGCCCTCAAATACGTAATTTTGCTCTTCCTATGTAGTTCATCAGCGTATATTATTTTGAGCATTTAAATTAAAAGCGCTTAAATTATTTCAAGTTTTGATGTAAAGCCCTTGATAGCAAAGTACATTAAGCCGATGAAGCCGATCTCATAATTTTCAATCGCAACAAACCATTTCAAAGCACTAATCAAACACAATTCGGATTGGATTGCAAAAATTGGAAGTATGATGCAATCCAATCTGCAATCAAATCCTGTTTTTTGAATGGATTTCAAATCCAGGTGCAATCCACCAAAATGGAATGCAATCCGGATTTTGCAATCTTGCAATCACAATCTCACCAGAATAATTTCCTATTTTTCATCATGTTGTATGACAATTTTATAATTTGCCTATTTTGATTTAAAATGGGCTTAAATAGTTACTTAAGCTGAAGCCCCAAATATTGGGGGGCGGTCCCGTAGCCCGGTAGAGCGTTGGACTCCGTGTGGTGAGAGCATGCGTTCCATCGTGGTTACAATAGTCCGGGCTCTAAGCATGACAGGCGCTTGACATTTATGGGCCTCCCGACAGGTATGGTTATGGATGCGGTTGGTGGCAGCCGGCAGGCCGTAGCCAGGCGAAGTCAGTGAGGGACCGGCCGTATGCAGCTATGTTTGCACGTTAAACTTTGGGCTCTAAATTCTGCCATAGAACTGGAATTGCGCGATTGCAAACAATGCAACGGGCTCCGCTTAGTGGTGGCTCTGTCCTTGTGAATCCTTCCTATCAAAAGGTTCAAACTAAATTTATAAAAAAATATTGGATCCCGGCCCATTCCCCTCTTCAAATATAAATATTTGGTACATAATTTTATAACTACATAGAACTACACCATCTTAACCCGCGCCCGGCTGGGGGTCCTGGATTTCCACGCCCTGCTGGGGGGGGGGGGGTGTTTGAACACCCCCCTTCTAACTCGGCTCCTGGGCCACGTAGCGATACGCGGAAGGCGGCGTTCGAAAGAGCGTCAAAAATAATGACGAAATCACTTCGGTCAATTTTTTGGTCAGGTCAAAAGTCAGGTCACCAGAGGTCATTGAAGGCAAAATTTCGCCGAATTCCAGGTCGAATGTCAAAAATTTCCAAGAAGCCAACGCATAACTCGGGAACCAATAGAGCTACAGCGCCGCAGAAAAGCGCATTCGATAGCCCTATTAACACCCTTTCTGAGTAATTCTCTCGGATTTGACCTAACGTCAACGGTTTTGCCTGCAGGTGGCAAAAACTGCAAAAATAGCCGATTTTTTCGGAAACAGTTTTTCTGCAATAACTTTTGACCCAAGCCTTGTACGAGCCTTTTTTTTACCGGCATCGTGTTTCTCTCGTCAAGACGCATCGAATGAACTATAACTTGACCTTGAAAGGTCAACTTGAAAATTTGACCTCAGGTCAAGGTCATGACCTGACCGGAAAGGGTCATGCTGCATATCAGTCGATCCGTATCGTCGAGCTGAACACATCTAAGGCGTTTTCATCGCTCTAGCATGCCTCTATCAAAAGTTATTTGCGAAAAACTGTTAGATACCATTCGTGACCTAAGATGACCTCAGGGCATAAACAGGGGTCATGGACACCATTTTCATGTTCAGTGTGTCTAAACCACTTGTAATTCAGTGTTTGGGAGTGTTTATAATGTCTTTCGTCCAAAAGAGGCGCATTTCAATTTTCTCCTATTGACTTATAATGGGGAGGTCGCAAAATTGACCTGACCTTAGGTCATCGATATCAAAATTCTGAGATATACATTTTGTACATGCTATTGCTCTTAGCAATCGCTGAAAGTTTCAAAGCGATCGGTCACTCGGTGTAGCTATGACAGACATTGAAACTTTTTATGAGGTGAGGTCACTTCAAGTGACCTGGTGACCTGACCTTGAATGACCTTGGTCTGAAATTTTCACAACATGTGTAGAATTGATGTATGATAAGGTGTAGCAGGGCGCGGGTTAATAAAGATTAAATAGTGTTTGGTGCCCATGCCTTAAAGTGTCATTTTTAACATAAAATCTTATGTTGATATAATGAGTATTTTGAGACAGGATTAGAAGGGAAATAATTAGTCATTCCGGTGTCTTGGAGCATAATGGTGAAATAAGATAAGGGTGCGCCTGGTGCCATTTATATTTTACTATTTTTGTGAGGTACCTACCTGATTTTACAGATGGCACGGTTGATCCCACAGCTACTATTTCCATTTTCTTGAGCATCTGTAAAAGTAAAGCAGACAGCTTAGCGTGGGAAGTCTTTCACTTCCTTTTCAACTCTGGCACATTTAGATGTGGACTGCGGAGTTGCGGACTCACTCTATTGAAGTAGCTCCAATCTAATGACTTATTCCTGATAATGTTCCTGCTCTGATCGACAGTTGGCAGACAGCTCAGAACACCATGGCTGAGGCGTCGGGTGCGGCAACTACAGATACACAGTACTTCTGCCACATCTGCAACAAGGACATCACCCCAGTGGTGCCGGTAAGGGCCGCTCTTAGATCTGACCATCAAACTTCAGCCTACTTTTGCTGTGTGCCGCGGAATCGAGACAATCCCTGGAACGGGTTGGGTTAAATAATTGATATAGCTATGTGCTGATATTACAAACTGGACAGTCTGTGTACAAAATGATTCATTAGTCTGTATCAGCTTTTTGCCTATCAAAATCGATGTGTTCTTAGGTACTTGTTTGTTGTTCAAAGTCTGGTGTTTTGTGATCTTTATCCCTTGAGGAGTGCTATCTTGCGAATCCGTCGCTCTTCGAATTGCTCAGTTTGGGTGGGCGCGACGAACTGAGGCAAGCTTTCCTCCCGCTCGAATTGACATACTTTCCTCCCTCTTGAGCTGAGACTTTCCCGCCTTTCGAGCTGACATAATTTCCTCCCTCTTGGGCTGACAGACTTTCCCGCCTTTCGAGCTGACATAATTTCCTCCCTCTCAAGTACTTGATCTTGAAGAGACGATCGACGACCATCATAGTCAAGACGCGTTTACGGGCTTATCTATGGGCTTAGGCTGAATAGTGAATAATGAAGATATTGCGTGACGGTGGCCGGGTGGCTTGGCCTTAATGGAACCCGACCCTGACCTGAGCTGATTACGATCGGACCGTGACCTGGCCGTGACCTGACCATTAACGTTACCGTCGCCTTTGACCCGACCGTTATTGTGACCAGTCCATTGCTTGATCTTGATCTGACCGTGATAGTTAGATCTAGATCTAGACCGTTATCGTGACTAAACCGTGAACTGGCAGCTACCGTATTCTGACAGTTACCGCAACCGGAAAGTTATTTGAGCCTCATCGGCATTGTCGTCGTGACATGAGTCACCGTACCCATACCGTTCTGCCGTATAAAGGCAAAACCCATTATGTTCGGGTGACCTCTGACCTGAGGGAATGGCCTCTGACCCGACATGCGTTACGAGGTTTGTGTCCTGGATGTAACCGTAACCATGACCTGACTGTGACCCCGGCAGGAGTACACCTGTCCCGACTGTCAGGGCGGCTTCATAGAGCAGCGAGACACGGAGGATGGCGGCTCGGCGGCGGCAGCCGACGACCCTGAGGATGAGCTGCCGCCGCTGAACGACCCAGCCATGCACGCCTTCTCACAGGTGAGCACTCGCTGCCCCCTCCCGCCTCCCCTCCCCCACCCCACCTACCCCCGCTGAACGATCCGGCCATGCACGCCTTCGCACAGGTGAGTGTCACCTACCCCGCTGGATACCCAGCTATGCACGCCTTCGCACAGGTTAGTGTAGCCTACCCCCGGCTGGACGACCCCGCCAGACGCCATGCACGCCTTCTCACAGGTGCGCAGACAGATAACCATCTGTGACATCTGCATGTGCACTTCACACATTGTTATTGATGTACTTTTGCATGTTGATATAAGTTAGAGCTGTTCAAATGAGTTATTTAGCTGTTCCCCGTTCAGTACCTACATGTTTTTCTGCGCTGTTTTGTGTCTGTAGGTATTTTATATATGAAAGGTATCTCATTCACATTTGGTTTGAGTCGTTTTTTTTAACGTGTTTTTCTTGTCAATAGGTATATAGTTGTTGTAATTGCTGCAATATGTTGAAAATGAAAAGACAAAACAGTAATTAATTTAATGTCAGCGCTCTTCCTACATCACAAGTGCCAGTCCAGCTCCTATAATTCTGACAGCACCTTATCGGCACTGTTTCAGCTGCTGAATATTGTTCCGCTGTCGTTCAACTCACCTCTGGTGATCGGAGGGAGGAACACGGGCCGGGGAGCCCCCGGGTAAGTACCGGAGCGTACATGTTTGGCTTAGGGGAATAACCGCCGCGTCACAAACTCTGCTGATTTAGCGACCGGGACATTCCTAGGCTGATGATAAAATATCTGGGAGGGCGAGGAGGGAGGAGGATAGTACAGCTGTGAATGAAAACTGAGTCATTCGTTTGGATGAGAGTCGAGTCATTGCTGATGTGGCAGCGTTCCACTGCTATGGTGACCTCTGGCACTTGGTCGATGTATCTATACTATATGTATCTATCTATCTATCTATCTATCTGTCTATCTAATCTATCTAATATACATACCTTTCTCTGAGTCAACCGAGGTGTTGTAGTTTTATCTAGCCAGCTGTATGTTGCCTCTGTGTTTTAGTTTGAAATGTTAAAAACACGGATTTACGTCACTGGCTTAGCTGAAATTGCGCTTTCTTTTCACTTCTAAAGCAAGAAAAAACTTTTCACTTTGAAAGAGGCAATTTTTCATGCTCACGAAGTGAGGACAGGATATGTCAGTCCTGACAGTGATACCTTGCTACATGTGCAAAGAAGTACTCAGTCTCCCTCAGCACTCAGTCCCCATCCCTCTCTCCACTACAGAGGAGCGGCGAACGGCAGCCAGCAGCCGCAGCTGCCCCAGGCCGGCGGCTTCGTGGAGCTGCTCGACAATCTGTTCGCCAACTTCCACAACGTGCGAGTCAATGTGGACACGGGCGGCCAGGTGCCCATGTGAGTGCGTTAGGCGGGTCTCTGCGGGGATGTACTGGGCTGAATGCGCTGTAGACGGCTTGTGTTGTGTGTGCGGGGGGGGGGGGGGGCATGGGGGATTGTAACGTAGCTTATTTTCATTTGCGGCTGGAAGATTGTTTAGCGAAAGTCCGTTCTTGCTAACCTTGTAGTCTTTGTTCACGTTTCGCTGACTCTAAATTCAGAACGTATCCGAAATGTGCTAGGTCGACTTTCCACTCGTATATATGATATATTTCATATAGTTTGGCATATTTGTATCATCTCCGCGGCTATCTGCAGCTCCCCACACTTCCTTCCCTCTCACCCACAAACATCCGCTCTATCTGACCTCCCCCCCCCCCCCCCGCCGGCAGCCACTTCCGACTGCACGGCAACCCCGGCGACTACGCCTGGGGAAACGCCGAGCTGGACAGGATCGTGACGCAACTGCTGAACCAGCTGGACTTTAGCGGGCCGCCGCCGTTGGGCCAGGCGCTCATCCAGAGGCTGCCCACCGTCACCATTACCCAGGCCAGTGTCGGTCAGTATTGGATAGTTTGGTCAGTGTAGCAGGGTCACCATTACCTAGGGCAGTGTCGGTCAGTATTGGATAGTTTGGTCAGTGTAGCATGGTCACTCACACTCAGGCCAGTGTCGGTCAGTATTGGATAGTTTGGTCAGTGTAGCATGGTCACTCACACTCAGGCCAGTGTCGGTCAGTATTGGATAGTTTGGTCAGTGTAGCAGGGTCACCATTACCCAGGCCAGTGTCGGTCAGTACTGGATAGTTTGGTCAGTGTAGCTTGGTCACTGGCACTCTGGCCAGTGTCGGTCAGTATGGCAGGATCTCAGTGTTAGTATGTATAGCATGGTTTCAGTATCACGGTATTGACTCAGGCCAGCCCGTCGGTCAGTATAGCAGGCCACAGTATCACATAGGCCAGTGCCGGTCGGTATAGCAGGGTCTCAGTAGCTGCACTCAGGTCAGCGTCGTCACTCGTCAGTCAGTATAGCAAGGTCACAGTATCACGCAGGCCAGTGTTGGTCAGTATAACACGGTCAGTATATCACAGTATTGACACAGGCCAGCTTATGGTCAATGACACCCAGGCCAGCTCGGTCAGCAAAAGTCGGGAGAGGAATGTGTTGTCAGTCGCGCATGGAACGGACTTACTTTGGTATTCGTTTTTTTTTTTTTTTTTACTTTTTGACGAGTTACATGGCCGTAACCCTCGCATGTGTAGGGGGGGGGGTCGGATGGACCCCCCATGGTTTTTCGCGAATAACTCGCGTAAAAAGCGGCCGATCGCGACGAAACTTTCAGTACCCTCGCAATGATCAATTTTACACCTACCCTGAAAATTTCATGACCCTGACCCAAATGACCTTTGACCTGTGACCTCTTTTCCGAGACCATGTTTGGCCGGAATCGCGATTCCGCGCATGTCGGCTCGCATTAGCCGCGCGTTTGCAAGCTTTTCGTGGTTTCAAACGTTCAAACATGTGATTTGATGTTGCTCCCATGCATTAGGGTGGGTGTCAAGGTCACTTGAAGGTCAGGTCAGGTCATTGACCTTTGGGGCGTTCCACGACAAATCGACAAGTGCCGTGCACCCTCATATTTTATTTTTTTTGCTTAAAATTGGTCTAATGGGTTGTGATGGGCGGGGAAGCCAGCTGTGGCAAGGATTTTTTTCTTCGAACAACGGTTTCCGAGATATAGCCTCGGGCAATTCTTGGAGTTCGCGCTGCAGCTTTATGTTTGGCGGCCTATAACTCAGAAACTATTAGCTTTTTACGATAAAACTTCATATGGTTCAACTCACAATCAACCAACAAACATTTTGGCTATCTCGGATTTTCAATTTTTGAAAATTTTGATCACGTGACCTTTTGTCCTATTTTTCGAAGAGTGACCTTGATATTTTCCCCACTGAAAGTTGCAATTTTGTCTGATGACGATTAAAGCCTTATCAATTGTCATTCATATGCGATAATAAAAAAGTGGTTATCGCCCTGCGTTGACCTCAGGTCAGGTCATTTTTATGACCTGTCCATTATTACGAGCGGGAGCGACAGCGAGATCTCGAGAATAAAGCAAGATAGCGACAAGCGGTAAACGGTTAACCCGCGCCCTGATGGGGGGGGGGCCATTTTGGCCCCCCCCCTGTGGTTTTTCTTAAATAGCGAGAAAACGGCGGCGCGCAGCGCCGCCAAATTTTGGGTACCTTACCGGGCATCAATTTGACACCTTCACACAAAATTTCAAGTCACAGGTCACCTCAGGTCAGGAGTTATTGAGGTCAAACTGAGGTCATGTTCGAGCAAAAATGAGCAAAAAACATGACATCTTGAAACGCTCACCAATTCTACAGTTAACAAGCAATTTTAAAGTTCTTTATGTGGTTGTGTAGAGAAAAGACGGCGCTACAAAACTGCTATCTCGGATTTTCGAAATTTTGGGATTTTGACCCCAAAAAATCAAAAAAATTGATTTTTTTAGAAAAACTCAAAAAATTTCCAAAAAAATTTCGAATTTCGAAAAAACCGGAATATATGTGATAGTCCCTGCGCTCTTCGATATACATACCAAATTTTAGATCGATACCTCTTTTTTTGGCCAAGTTATAACGAAAAAACTGTTAAAAATTGATGACGTCAAATTTTTGAACTCAATTTTTAGCAATTCTAGACCTCGTAGCGCAAAACGGAGACCACCATTGAACTCCCCGTGACGAGCTGCATCGAATCGATACCCATTTTATGCAAAAATATCAACTTTGAAATTTGACCTAATTTGACCTGACCTTGACCTGACCTTGACCTGACCTTGACCAAAACGTGACCTAAGCTGGCCCTAAAGTCTGTCTGACCCACATAATCGCATTTGTCATGTAAAATGAACCATAAAACATGTATCACACGACACTTTCATATTGTGACCCCCCCAGTGACCTGACCTCTGTGACCTGACCTGGTATCAGTGAACTCAAATAGCAAAATATGTGTTTGAAGAACATTTCTCCATCGATGATTTTCAATGAAATGCATTTTACTCGATTTTACAACGCATTTCTTGAAATGCCTGTAAACGGTGAAAATTCAACCTTTGACCTGACCTGTGACGTCATCGGTTTGACCGAGGTCAATGAAATTGGGTCAAAAGGTAGTTCCTCGCTGGGGCTATCCAACACCGTTTACCGCTTGTCGCTATGTTGCGTGGTTCTCGAGATCTGAGGGGGGGGGGCCAAAATGGCCCCCCCCATCAGACCGCGTTGCTCGGCAGACCCCATCTGGGCGCGGGTTAAGGGTACACACGGATAAGGTCTATAATTTTTACTGAGGTCATTTTCAGGTCAGGTCAAAGATGACGTCACAAGAGCTAAAAGGAAGTCAAAATAGCGGCACTATACATATATGTGAAGTTTTTCTCGAATAACTTTCAAGGTATCCCAGCTAGGAACAAACTAATAGCACCATCGTGATCCTCTCGTCGATCCGCATCGAAACATATGTATGTTGACCTCGAAAGGTCGAAAGGTCAAAAGTTGACCTTAGGTCACGTGATCTAAGGTCAACTTTTGACCTTTCGACCTTTCGAGGTCAACATACATATGTTTCGATGCGGATCGACGAGAGGATCACGATGGTGCTATTAGTTTGTTCCTAGCTGGGATACCTTGAAAGTTATTCGAGAAAAACTTCATATCTATGTATAGTGCCGCTATTTTGACTTCCTTTTAGCTCCTGTGACGTCATCTTTGACCTGACCTGAAAATGACCTCAATAAAAATTATAGACCTTATCCGTTTGTACCCTTTACCGTTTACCGCTTGTCGCTATCTTGCTTTATTCTCGAGATCTCGCTGTCGCTCCCGCTCGTAATAATGGACAGGTCATAAAAATGACCTGACCTGAGGTCAATGCAGGGCGCTAACCACTTTTTTTATTATCGCATATGAATGACAATCGATAAGGCTTTAATCGTCATCAGACAAAATTGCAACTTTCAGTGGGGAAAATATCAAGGCCACTCTTCGAAAAATAGGACAAAAGGTCACGTGATCAAAATTTTCAAAAATTGAAAATCCGAGATAGCCAAAATGTTTGCTGGTTGATTGTGAGTTGAACCATATAAAGTTTTTATCGTAAAAAACCAATAGTTTCTGAGTTATAGGCCGCCAAACATAGGGCTGCAGCGCGAACTCCAGGAATTGCCCGAGGCTATATCTCGGAAACTGTTGTTCGAAGAAAAAAATCCTTGCCACAGCTGGCTTCCCCGCCCATCACAACCCCTTACACCAGTTTTCAACGAATAATAAAATATGAGGGTGCAAATTTAATTTTTTATTTGTCGATTTGTCGTGGAACGCCCCCTTTGGTGACCTCGGTTCACTTTTTCGAGTTTTACATGTTTCTAGGCTAGTTTTTGGAGCTGAATTCGAATTTAGCAACCATTTGAACATTTACGAAGTAGTTTTGGTGACTTCGTAACATGTTACGAAGCTGTCAAAGGCGGTTGACACGTACTACGAATACCCGTCACGACGCCTACTGGTTGACCTGGCCCGACCTGGTCTAAATGCTTAAAGACATCATCTGTGATCAAAACTAACACGATATTCGTGATCAGCGTCCCAAAAAAAAACCTTAGAAGCCACACTTTACGACTTTCTAACAGGTTCCGATTTTCCCGACTTTGGGTCATTGACCTGACCTGGACGGTCAACCGATGACCTAGGACCTTAAAATTGGGTATCATCGGCTTCCTCTCGTCACGGGCAACACGCTCGTTTTCTCCACGAAGCTGTAGCTCGATCAGGGTCCAAACGGCAAGGGGGGGAGTCCAACCGACCCCCCCCCCCCCTACACATTAGAAGCTGGCAAACGCCGCACACATGCGGGGGTTAATTCGGCTCGTTTGGGGGTAAGAGGCTCAACAGTTGCTCAATCATCGGTATTCAATACAGATTGCGAGGTACGGTATTTCTGGGACGTTTCCAAAAACATTTGACTTTGAAACGACATGCTTTTGTATTCATCTGGTCCCCATTACGTTCAGGCATGCCTGTCAAGTCGAGCTTATCCAGTGAAACCGTCACAGGAGACATTCCCCGCTGGGCCACGCGCTGGAAGACGGCGCTGGAAGACCTTTCACGCGCTGTTGTTTGGGATTGGCTCCCGGTTGTAGCCCCAAACTGATGTGGGGTCTTGTGTTATCGTGTTTTGAATGGACTGTTGTGGCTATGACTGGACTATGAACTTTCGACGTCAAATTTTCCGAGTTGAACGACACGTTTCGATCAACAACGAACGGTGATTGTGTCGACTTGTCCTTAACTGTAAAGAGCTACCAGTTATATGATGTTATTATTTACTGTCACAAGAGCCCAGAACTTTCGTGCTATCAACAAAAAGGTAATGGCTCGATGTGTTCACATTTGCTGCAAAAGTTTTGCAAGGCTGTCGCTGCCTAAGTGAAAATAACCCAGTACCCACCTGCGTCGTAATATATCTTTAGAGTAATGTTGCCTTTGTGTGCTTTTTACCAGAACGTACGAACAGCCATCTATCACAACAACCAGTGCCGGCCCTTTTCATCCACTGATGATTCGCCTGCTTTCAGACGCCAACCTGCAGTGCATGGTGTGCTTTGAGGACTACAAGCTGGACGAGAAGGTGCGGGAGCTGCCCTGTTCACATCTCTACCATAGCATCTGTATAGTGCCCTGGCTAGAACTGGTGAGTTCGTGCATATGTATAGTGCCCTGGCTAGAACTGGTGAGTTCGTGCATATGTATAGTGCCCTGGCTAGAACTGGTGAGTTCGTGCATCTGCATAGTGCCCTGGCTAGAACTGGTGAGTACGCGACTTTTCTGAAGAACAGTACCTTAGTAAGTGTGTGTGGGAGCCGTAATGGTGATTACTGATTAGTGTGATTGGTTGGCTGTAGTGGTCCTTGAGCCCTCCGGACTAGGTGGGCAGATGTTAGGGTGCGATCCTCTGAGTGGGGCATCATACACTGGGGTATGATGCCTCAATGCCTCATAACTGGGTTATGATGCCCCATACACTGGGTTATGATGTACCATACACTGGCATATGATGCCCCGCTGGCTAGCGGGCCACACTGCACGTCAGTCACTGAAGTACGCTTCACTCTGACGCCAGCTGATGTGGTGTGGCATGACCTTCCCGATTTGGGGGTGAGTCTGGTTATATAACTCAGTTATATAACTCATTGACAGCGAGTGCAGGTGCAGTTTTGACCAGGGGAAGCTCTGACTAAACGCCAGATTGTGATAAAGCTGTAAAAAAGTGTGCACTCAAATCGCGTATGAGCTACTCTGGCTGGTATGCCATTAGAACACATATTTAAAGTAGTTGGCATGATAAGACTGCAGGCTGCATTGTTCGCGGCGCAGTCAGCTCCGCTACCGACTGCCGACGTAAAACAGTAGGTAGATAACAGTTGTAGAAAAAACATGGTAACGGGGGATTGAGAGGAAAATTGGATTTCTTTTTCGACTTTTTAGAAGCTCATGCTATATGTGTTTGGGGGGGGGGGGCTATGACGTTGTCCCAAAATTCAGGATTGCTGATGTTTTAGCGTATAGCCGACGTTCTAAGGCGAATGTCCTTTGGTCCATAGCCCCCTTCAAAGAGCACTTCTATTGCCATTAGGACGTACATTGGATCATTGCTGATTCGTATCAACAGGCCTTGGATGAATAAGCAAAATATTTGTTTAAATCTTAATCTTATTTTGAGTTATAACTTTGCAATTTGCATGACTATCGGCCGTTTGATCTCTCAACCGTCACCACTCCTTGCGATGCTTATCGCGAATTGCCCAGTGTCCAGACTTCTCTACACGTATCTCGCCCCAGCCCTGAATACACTTCCCTCCGTCCTCAGCACGGCACGTGTCCTGTGTGTCGCAGCAACGTGGACCCGTCGGCGGCACCCCAGAAACCGCCGCCGGCCGCCCGGCCGCCCGAGCCGGGGCCGTCCAGTCGACCAGGTCAGTCGCCCTGGGAACCCATGTAGGTGGCGCTACGAGCCAAGCTATGAGCTCCGGCCGCTGGGGTCGTATGGCTTGTCACGGTGGTTGATTCTTTCATTTGTTTCGATGTCATTTTATGATCATCTGCTGGTTGTGCTGTTTTAGTCATCATCGACGTTTTTCCCCTTGATTATTTATATGCAGTTGGATTTGTGCTCATATTGATCATATGTGGCACAATAGATTGGCGTTATGCTATGCAGGCGACAACATGTCCATTGTCCAAGGGACGAACTCATAACCGCAGGTTGTTTGAAAAGACAAACACTATTCGTTAGATAGCTGATGGTACGACCTGGGATATCGAATTTCTTGCATTGTCCCTCAGTGAGCTGAACGTTTGTTGCGTTTTATTCCTTTCTCTTGAATTTCTGAGTGCAGATGATCTGATACTGGGGAAGTGAAATGGAGTGAATTGGAAAGCCGCAGCAACTTAGTGGCCTTGCAACTTCAACCATCATAGCTAGGAACAAAACATGCAACATATCCAAGATGCGAGGTCCTTCCTCGAGGTTGATTATGCCCTGGCGGCCATCCACAGATCAGCCGTGAGACCGCGCTTATATGAAGCGATGCAGAGAGAGTCGTCAGTGACTGGTCGCGCCTGTGATACCGCGCCGCCGCTGCCGCCGCCGCCGCCGCCTTACCCGTTCATCCAGCCCCTCTGGAGGTCGGGTGGAGCCCCTCTGGAGGACGGGTGGAGTCCCTCTGGAGGTCGGGTGGAGTCCCTCTGGAGGTCGAGAGAGGTCGGGGCGGCGGTCAGAGGCAGCTGGCAGCTCCAGCCGCCCCCGGAAGGGCGGCGCGGCCGGGGCCTTAACGCTTGCTGTGTGCGTGTGTGTGCGTATCTAAAGTATGTAGCTTGAGTGTGTGTGCGTTTGCGGTGTATTAAAACCCCTGGGTAGTACCGATGTTCAGTACGGTTGGCTTCCCTGTTGAAGAACATTCTGGTCTTGCAATCAGCAGCGGAGAAAATGATTCGGACCTTGACGAACGAGTGCAGAGACTCGCACCTGGATTCGGAGCTGTCCAGCTGCTCAGGGGCGGCGGTGTTGGTCTCTGTCGAGCTCGCAGCTCAGTCCAGCCCGGAGGACAGATCAGGAAACTGGGGTGGCACGCAGGGAGGGCAGGGCGCCCAGGGGGGCGCCCTGGATGGGTGTCTGGACTGTGCACGGCAGTTTTAACGGCGACCCCTCCGTTCGGCTGGCGTCGCCGAGTGGAGATATAATCAATCAGTATGTGATGCAGCAGTCCACAGCCACGCTATTCGTTGCTTAGTCGCGCCATAGTCGCCCGGTGTCTGATTTGTATTTTGCGATGCAGAAAGTCTGTTTCTTGCGGTGATTTTGTTCAGTGCTGCTTTATTTACATGTTAATGGTGATATACTTGGTGAGTCTGATCGCCAAAATTGGCCGCTGCAGCGCTGGGTCGTGTCATTGAAACGAGTTATCTTACCGACAGTGGTGCCCGAATAAATAAATCGGTGTTAGACGAGAGGAATCTACATAGATGAGATATCGGTGTCTCGCAAGTCACAAGGTTCAGTGGCGACGCAGAGTGGCAAATAAAATGACTTTGGGAACGATCGAACCAGTTGGGATTTTACTATGATGACCGTGCTAGACGACTGCCGAACGACATTAAGTGCCACCCGAGTGTCATTGACTACCGCTGAGTGCCGGATGAGTGTCGTTGACCACCTGGTGAGCGGGTCAGGGTGTTGTACCCGGCATACCGACTGAAGCACGCGGTTCCTTTGGTGGCTCGACGGGGCTGCCACCCCTCCCGTTTGCAGTGTACGCCACGCCCTGGGTTTGGCCGTTAGTGAAAGACTCGGCCTTCGTAGTAACCAATGTCACGATTGAACTTTGGAATGTGGCTTTGCAGGCTTATCATGGGAAAGGATGGCATGTCTTACAGCTTTGGTAGTCCTAACGTACCGCTTCCTAATGGGAGGATCTGGCTGCCTTCAGCGAAGGCATGTTTAAGAAAAATTGTCACAATTTATGATTCCCGCCATCGAAAGCTTCTTGTAAATTGCTGCTGGTACAGATGCTCGATGAATATATGCCTCATCAGTTCCTCGGCGTATTTGAACCTGTGGCGGACATCCCATGTTCATAAGCCGTGGACCAGTGTTCCACAGTACAGCTGAGCAGCTTTTTGTGCGGGCTGTTTGGACCCCGCGCCCTACAGAGGGGAGTTCCGCCAAGGTCGTCGGGGTGTCTGATCTCCGTCCCGGCTCTCCAAGGTTGGCGCTGCCTGGCCCGGTTTCTACTGCCCCGCTCTGGAGCTATTATCAGATCGGAGCCGAACCTAGCCCCCCTAATGGACTAACCCTCTCCTAACCCCAATCCCATCGGCCCTCACTAGCGCTTCCAATCAATATGCCTAATTAGCGATCCGAATAATAATATAGATTGGTATGAATGCCATTTAGCATCGTTAACTAGTTGTCTCTATTGAACACAGAAATGCGAGTTTGACCCGTGACCCACATTATACCTACCTTTGAAGTCATGCGACTTTATCAACATCAGCATGATTTTGGATAAGAACTTTTGATAGTGACATGTTTGAAGGAATGGACACCCCTTGGTTTCATTGAGGTCGTTCCGAATCGATTGACGTGCAACATGACCTTTTAGCTCAGGTCATAACTTGACATCGGGTGAAGTTTTGAAATGACTTGGGTAAATTTATATATAAAAGTAAATCTTCCAAAGCTGACGTGTAGGTACTTGAGTCTTGACATTAACCCGCGCCCCGCTGGGGTTTCTGGATTTCCACGCCTTGCTGGGGAGGGGTTGTTTGAACAGTGAACACCCCCCCCCCTTCTAACTCGGGTCCTAGGCCACGTAGTGATATAATGTATGATTTCAAGCTTTTACGACTAGACATTGTAATTCGACGTACGTTTTTTCGGCTACTAGTCGTTTATTGTTTTAAACGTACGTCGAATCACGTAGTGATACCTACGGGGAAGCGGCGTTCGAAAGAGCGTCAAAAATAATGACGAAATTACATCAGTCCCTTTTTTGGTCAGGTCACCAGAGGTCAAAGGCCAAATTTCGCCGATTTCCAGGTCGAATATCAATTTTCCACAATCCGGCACATAACTCGGAAACCAATAGAGCTTCAACTCCCCGAAAAAAAACGCATTTGATAGCCCTATTAACGTTCTTTCTGACTACTCTCAGGTTTGACCTTAGGTCAAACTCAACAGTTTTGCCTGCTGGGGACAAAAACTACCAAATTAGACGATTTTTAGTATTTTTCTGCAATAACTTTTGCATCAAACCTTGCACAAGCTTACTTTAACCGGCATCGTGTTTCTTCGTCAAGACGCATCTAATGAACTATAATTTGACCATGAAAAGTCAACTTGAAAGTTTGACCTCAGGTCAAGGTCATGACCTGACCGGAAAGGGTCATGTTGCATATCAGTCGATCAGTATCGTTGAACTGAAGTGAACACATCTAAGGTGTTTTCATCAATCATCGCTTTAGCATGCCTCTATCAAAAGTTATTCGCGTAAAACAGTTCGATAGGGTAGTGTGGGGTAATTTGAACATATTTTTACGTCTTTTCCGTTGTACCAAATTACAGCTCAACCCTGGATGAAGAAAAACTGCTTCAGTAGCGCAAGTGTCACTTACTTTCACCATGCAAGCCTCATTTTTGGACGAGCCGAGCATACCTTGAATAGCATAGCATCACTTCTCCACCAAGTCACGGTGTGTTCAAACTGCCCCACCGTGGGGTAATTTGAACATACTGCCTTTACCTGCCATAAAAAAACGGTAGTCTCGCCAGCACCGATGTTGTTTGACCCATAAACGAATAAGCAGATCAATTCTAAACATACCTTCATTTTAAAAATCAACACAACAACAAAAATAACAGTTGCAGAGTATCAATATCTGCATGCTGTACATCGGTCAGTTGACAGAATTCGCCTCTCTTCAATTAACAGAACGTCTATCATCTCCGTTCGATAAAAACTCTACCAAACCTTACTTCATCTGTTACAGTGGCGCCAATCGGAACCTGGACATTCGGAGTTCCGATTCTTTATAATGTCCAATTCGGAATTGATTGCACAAAGGTATAGAAGTCTGGACAACATTGGACGATGGCCTGCCACACTAAAGCATTTTATCAAGTACCTAATCGTGCGTAGCATTGATTGGCGAATGGAAAGCTTGTTAAGCTCTCAATATAATGAACACTTTTCGGCTGGTAAAATTACAGGATAAGCAATATAAATGACGGTTTTGGTTGTTGATAGCTGCATAATTTTCGGACATAGGGGAGAGTGGGGTGGGTTGTATCAGTTTTTAGGTACTCCGAGACCCATAACCTCATAACTACCCGTGATTAACTCATTATTTCCATACTATCTCCTTCCTTGATTCTTCTGCTCTTTTGTGCAAAGTAACTTTTCCGCTACCTCTACCAGTTTTTCTTCTACGGTCTGCCGAATAGAACAATGTTTTTGATACAACTTGCCCCATGGCTTGGGTGAGTTGTATCACATGGTGGGGTAATTTGTATCACTATTTCACGTTTCAGAGAGTGTGCATGCTATTAGTTTTGAACATAACAACAATATTAAATAGGGTTAATACAATGTATAGGTATACTCAAAGGCTTCACTTTATTAGACCAAACTTAGGTCAATGCAACCCGAACGAAAGATCAACAGACTAAACGCAAAAGTGGCCCGTTAAGAGCAAAGAAGCCAACACATTGTGCCGAAATGGAACGAGCATTGATTAGCTACCTACAAACGCGAGCCAGGGCTTAGCTTTCGCGATCAAAAGCAACATACCCATGCATACATACATGCATACATGTTACACTTACAACATACCCCACCCGGCTCTGATACAACATGTACCTAGCCGCCATCTTGGAAAAAACATCCTCGTGCTAAAAAACAGCGGACAGCTGGAGAAATCCGTTTTCACTCACGCAGCCTTAGAACCTACCCTCACCACCGCTACGGAGATCTTTCAAATTCGCGCACATCTCAATGCCCAAAACACACATTTTCTTGCAACTTATTTTTTTAGAATGACATTAAAAAAACATAAAATCGGCTCTCACCTCGAGACGCGTCCACTCAGCCACAAGATAGAACAGGGAAAGATGGCACCCGGAAAACCTCGTCGGCTGGTCGTGTCGCGAGCGCCATCCATTGGATAAGTTTGGCACAATTCGCCTTGATACAACTTGGACATGATACAACTCTCCCCGCTCTCCCCTATTTGGACAAATAGTTAACTTAAACATTTTTGCACGGAAAATCAGCGAAAATGCCGGACATTAGACGGATATTAGACGTAAATTTTCTAAAACCGGCATCACTTATATGCTACTGTTCTGGGTCGAAAATATTGGCAAAAAAAAACTGGGAGCGTTGTTTTTTCGGAGCTATCCCTGTCTTCATTGAAATTCTCACACTATGTTCAAATTACCCCACGCTAAAAGTTATTTTGCCATTTTTTAAAAACAGGGTTCAAAAGCAAATTTATTGGATTGAAGGTACTGATTAGGTCATTGTACAACAAAAGCCGTTGCGCATTAGGCGCTAGCAATGCAAGATTTAGCGCTGCAATGAAGTTGCAATGACGTGTTGTTAGGCGTTTTTCCTTGCGAAATTGATTTTTTACACTGTGCATCAACATCTTCATTCCCTGAAACTTAAAACCCCGTTCATATGATAGGAATTTTAGTTATGATAATTTCTCTCATTGGTGTTATTGTCATGCCGCTTATGAATTTTCCGTAATTTTGTGTTATTCACACTATGTTCAAATTGTCCCACATGTTCAAATTACCCCACCCTACCCTACCATTCGTGACGGGAGATTACCTGAAGGACATAAAGAGGGGTCACAGATGCCATTTTCCTGTTCAGTGTGTTATGTTTGTTCAAGTTTTAATTCGGTGTTTGAGAACGTTTGAAATAGCATTCGTCCAAAACAGGCGCCTTTCAATTTTCTCCCATTGACTTATACCTAACGGAGAGTTCGCGAAAATGACCTGACCTGAGGTTACCGGTATCAAAATTCCGAGAGTAGCATTTTGTACGTTTTGTTGCTGTTATCAATAGCTGGAAGTTTTAAAGTGACCGGTCACTCGGTGTAGCTATAGCAGACATTGAAGCAATTTTATGACTATCGCTAACATGTCCTCATTTTTTACCTCAGGACGTCAACGGTTTGGCCTTTAGCCCGCGCCGTGCTGGTGGCCTGAACTTTCCGCCGAGTGCTGGGGGGAGGCGTTTTCACGCCCCCCCCCCCCCCAGTCTAACTCGACTCCTGAGTCCTGGGCCACGTAGCGACACGCGGTAAGCGGCAATCGAGATTCGAGAGAGCGTAAAAAGTAAGGAAGAAGGAAGAAACACTTCAGTCATCTTTAACCCTCGCTGAAACAGGCCATTTTGCATCCTTCGACGGCACAAGCGTAGTACGACTCCAAAGTA